AAGCCACCATAAATGTAAAATCAAGACAAATTAAGATATTGAGTACCTTTGCTTGTTTTCCCAGTATAACACAACACGTATAGTACTAGCATGGCCCCAACTTTCACCTTAAGACAAACATTGTGTTAATACCGCTAAAAACGAGAAGGGAAGTCTACTTGCCAAACCTCCCGGTATGGTAAAGATCAATGTTGGGTTAGGACACGTATACAGGCGACCTTCACCCACTAGACCAAATCACTGAGGATGATCTACAAAAATAATACACCCTATCCCCTCCCACACCTCCCATCCCATCCCCCAGTTACCTTGATAGCCACATTCTAGGGTAAACCCAGCACATCAGTTTTTTACAATCATTTGAAAATTTTACTAGAGTMTGAAAACACATACCTAGAGCGGGAATGAGGTGTGATTGACCCACTTGATTTTGACGTAAACGAGTTGTCATCTGGTTCATAAGGACTACCTTAACACGAGTAAACAAAGACAAAATCATGGACTTCCTTCCTTCAATAAAAACGCCGTACACACGATATTTTTTAGATTTTCTCGTACGTGAAAACTAAACCCTGCCAGTTTAAGACATCATACTATAATTAGTGTTATACAAATTTGGCTGCTTACAAACGAGTATCAGTTTTCTAAAATTTGAAAAGATAGAAGAAAATGCAAGTTTTTCGGGGCGGTGCTCTATGGCCCCGTACCGTCCTTATTTTTTCTCGAATTTTTCACTTGCCAGTCTGTAATCATGAGCTATAACGATCATTCCCAACAACTATACTGACTCAAGGCATTACGTCTATGCATCACGTAGACGCACGTTAGATGTCAAAAGTAGTTCCTTATTCGTCTCATTTATTAGACTATTCTTGGGTCCACTAACAATCAGTTGAGTATATGACAGCGGCAGATTAAACCCTTGACACAGATGAAAGTCGACGATTACCCCAATTTTTAAGATAAAAATGTTTGAAGTTCAACGAACCTCTATCTATAATCATTGTTTAATGATTTGGTTATGTGTCCCGAGGGGAGGGCGCTGAGGGGGAAAGGGGGTGACGGGGAAGGAGGGTGGAGGGCTAATGTTTTTTTTTACTTTTTTTTGTTTTTAATCGAGACGAAATATACTGGCTGGCAAAACACAAGGAAAGGCGAAATAARGAACGTCTTTGTCCACATACTTACAGCTATTTGTTTTTCACAYGCAATTCTTATAAACGTTTGTGCCAAGCCATTTAGTAGTCGGGTTCTCAGCGCCATGTCCTCAAAATCGTGACGGAAGTGAAATGCGATACTATCCAGAACAATTAATTTGACCTAAAAAGACAAAAAATAATATATAATGATATATGACATAACTATTACTGCACTAACCCCATGACACTGAATCCAAAGTTAGGAATCCGTTATTTTGGTTCTGAAATCCGGAATCCAGACACTTGGAATTTGCTGAATCCGCGGCAATTAAAATGTAGTCCGAAAAAGCAAGAAGACTCCGGAATGAATGAATGAATGATTCCTAGCGCAGTGATCAAACCTTGCACTGGTCTATTGATTATTGTTAACTTTCTGTAATGATATAAATTCCCTTGAGAAAGGAGAACATTATAATAATGCATGTAGATCTAACATGTTAATGATTGTTTAGSCTGCGTAGCGGCTCTASGGGAGTGGGAAGAGGGGAAACGGAAGGAGAGGGGAGACCTCCCCTTTTTCCGCTCCTCCCTCCACCCCCTCCCCTTCAGTTTTCCCCCTTCCGCCCTCCMCTAGAGGATTCAAGAATCACATCAAATGCATCCAGTGAGGACAGGATGTCAGTTTATTCACCTTGGAATGTTCTTTGAGGAACTCTGGCAGTAGATGGGATAGAGCAATCAACTGAATATACTCATGACAGCGAAATACATAGATACGAGATAAAATCTTTTCCACATTGAATTCATTGAGAGAATCAACTTGAAGGTTTCTTTCTGTCAAAAAAGACAAATGGTGTGCACTTAATATTATCATCATCACATCAGCCATAAAGCAAGCTGGCAAAAAATCATGATGTATTCAGTATGTAGACCCCCTTGTGAGAGAGGATTACAGGTAGGAAAAGATATGACCAGTTAAATTCTGACAACACAAAGGGAACTCAGTGCCCAATCTCACTTCACCCCTCAGTTGCTGCAGCTCATGACAACGCACTGAAAAAGTAAAGTTTCGCATCTAAAGGACACAACATAGTTGACTGGTCTGGATTTGAAGCTTGACCTGCGGACCTCAATTATGATGGCTTAACTACTAGACCACCACATTTTTAGCCTGCGTAGCAGCTGAAGGGAAGGGTGGAGGGAAGATTGAAAGGGAGGGGCATAGGGGAGCACTTCGCCATAGCTGCTAAGAAGGCTTCTATATTTCTCTCAAAAGTAATCATTGTAAAATGTTTTTTCTATTGAAAGCTATTTTTTTGTAATACTTACCAGATTCATCCAAATCTGCAGATTCAATAACATTTTCTAAGTGCTTGATTGCAGCAGAAGCAATGTCAACAACTCTTTCAACTATGAAACTTCCTTCTGTATCTATGAGGAGATGCAGAGATTAAGAGAATATTCTTTCTTATTTTCAAACCAACATTTTCTAGTGATGGGTGGGCGTCCTGTGGGAGAGAACAGGAAGCCCACACAAGACACTGAGTTATATGATGTATTTTGACGATGCATACTGACCTATATAGATGGCTGCTCCATCCACTCCACCAAACTCCTCTGGAATCTGYACATCAACAGCTAATTGCATCCTACAAACAAATGAAAAATACYTTTTGTTTCATTTATCTTCAATTGTTTCCTTTTCTATTGCTTTTTTGAAAAACAGTATTTCAGAAACCAGTTTGTCCTTTTTCCTTGTCAATAAGAAAAAGAACTTTGTAAAGATCAACACACAAATACAATATTAGAAGTGTGTAAGCAGAGGATCAACTGCTCATCTYAGGTATAAAAGGTGGTTGATTCACACATCACAGCTTAGAAAACCCTTGCCCTTATCACTACAGATTCAAAACCTTGCCTTTCATTTATAAAACTAAGTATCATTTTTTTTACCCAATTTGTGTCTTCCCAATGCCRGGTGCTCCACAGAACTCTGTTATTTTTCCAGTAGGTACACCACCACCAAGCATATCATCAAGCCGCTCACAAAATGTGACAATACAACTGGCTTCCTGTTCTTGTTGTAACATTTCTAAGGCACTTCTGCTTCKTGGACTAGACGTCACATTAGTCTGACCTCCATTTTCTGATGTTGATAAAGATGGCTTCTTTCTGATAGTTTGTAAAATGCCAAGTGCTTCCTCTCTTGTTGTATCTAAATCTAAAATTAATAGCTATAATGAGCAAATATAACTGTAACTTGTCTTACAAGTACATTTTTACCACATTGTAGATTTTCTCAATTTCTGATTGGTCAAAAGATTGTTTTTTGTCTGCGACTGTTATTTAATTGTAGAATATTTTTGTGGCAAAAAAAAAATATGTCGCTCCTGCTATGTCCTCATATTTACCACGCCTGCCCTCATCAAATCGTCAAAACTGTTTTACATGTAATAGACTAAACTGATGTACTGACTAGCTGACTGGGTTGATAAATGATTGAGAGAACAATTAATGGAATGATGGAAAATGAATGAGAATGTGGATAAATAAATGAGAACGTGTTTCTGTTACTTAGTATGCGCTCCCTCCTATTGAGGTATTAGATTAAAAAACCCCTTGGATACTTCTCTGTATATAGTCTGGATATACTCCCATGGACAGTTAGTAAACACTGTTACCCCATGGATATGTATATAACTTAGAGCGGATTTCGTATGAGTGGGAAACGGACGGTACTGTACTGTGACCGTAATCGTACTGTAACCAAATTCTAGTGCCCCATTGTTTCACCAAAATTGTGAAGGCCAGGTCCGGTAACTGTGCGGTAACCGTGCGGTAACGGTGTCCCACTCATACGAAATCCGCTCTAACTATACTAAAGAAAGTTGTAAATATTAAAGCTTTTAAAGCTTTTGATGTATGAAAGAGAGTTAGTTATAATAGCCCTTACCTTCACTTAACTGTGTTGGACTCACACCTTTGAGGTCTTCGACCGTTACATATCCTGCCTTGTTTAGTTTGTAYAGATGTTGAGGAGGGAAGGGAAATGAGCTCAGTTCCCTTGCCAATGACATGATAACTTCCCCGGCCTCGGCCAAGACGAAATTCGTCACATTTGAGAGAAAAGGAGTAAAAAAATCCACAMAACTATAGCTAATACCTTGCTTATCGGTTAAAACACAAAAATAGGTTAGAAGTCGAAGATACGTTATTGAAAAGACTTTGAAAAYAACATATCGCAACACAGAGGACACAAATCAATGTTGAATATGGCGCCAACCAACCAAAATGGCAATAAATGTTCCTGTCTAGGGAGGGGTAAAGCTACGAATGTTCATTAACATTTTTCTTAAAATTCTGGGCCGGATACATATTTATTACTTCTTAAAATAATGAGGCATAGAATTTTTTTTCTAAGGAACAATTTTTGAACACCTCTGAGAGACTCTACCGTGAAATTTGCGCGGAATCAAATTTTGTTTTCCCTCCCCCCTCCCTCCTCAAAGACTTGTCTTTTTGTCTTGACTTGTTGTCACGCGGTCGCGAARCTTGGTTCGTATTTTTGTAGACAACATGGCGCAAGGGCAAGTAAAGAAAARATCATCAAAAAACACGAAAAAATCGTCTGCCAAGAAGCATACAGGCCCCAAGAAAGGAGGTAATTTCTTACGAAATATCAGGAAGTAAAAAAWGTTGTGCTCTTGACAATTCAAAACGTACAAACGCCTTACAAGACTTTTAAAAAGCTTGTGTTTGTGCTTGCTTCAAACCATTGCTTTTTTAACACTATAGCTAGAAATATAGCCCCAAAGAAGACAAAACACGTCAAAGCAGCAAAGCTGAAGAAGGTTGGTTGTTTATATAAAACACATAAAAGAACATTCCACAATTTTAAGAATTTTATGATTGAAGCTCTACACGGTCAATGCTATGAAGATTTTGCATGGAATTTATGCACTAGTCAAAGTAAACCCCCATGCCCCGCAACCAGGGACAGGGTGAGGATATGTGGAGCATTTGAAAAATGGACTTGGCAAATGTTGGTAAATACCCMACATCGTGGAGGAGAATGGGAAATCAAATCTCCGACCCCCTTGGGACAAAAACCAAAACAGAGAGAAAACTATTAGAATATAAYCGTGAAATTTAATAAAAATGCCATTTTGAATAAAATCCTTTGTTTTCTACAGCAATGTCTACATGACCAGCAATGCAGTTCAACTTATCTGTGGGGGGTCCATGACATTCATAGGGCCACAGAAAGCCCAAGTTGCATTTTAAGAGTTTCCAGGCCTTTTCTAATTATTTGACCAATCCCGACCTTATGCCCCAATATGCCCCGACTATATTAAAACTCTCGTAAAATATTCACCTTATCTCCACCCCCTTGGGCATCATTGCTGGTCTAATGTGATCCCACATAGTCCCCACCCTGTCCCAGGGTGGGGGTTTACTTTGACTAGTGCATTAACTTGCTGGATAAGGATTTATCCGATGGATAGCGCTACTATATCCTTCGTGCTTTCAACCCCTGATGTTGTCCTTATATATAATGTTACTTCTTGATGCATAATGGGTAATCAATGTGTAGTTCATTATCACTGCAATTGACGCAATGGGAATGACCTGAGMCCATCTGGAGCTGAAAGGAAATATCTGCCTTTTGCCAATATGAGCTTCTTAGGCCCAGTTCATACATCCATAAAAGGATAAGAAAAAATCTGATAACATGCAATTTTGCATAAAAGCATAAGAAAAAATCTGATAACATGCAATTTTGTTCACAAGATGATAGCTCAACATTTGAATAAGCATTTACCTTTTGATGTGCAGCATCACTGGTGTTGTCATGCCACTGTCTACAGTCCTGCCGAACTTATTGATTCATACATCAAGCTCTTCATGAGCTAAATTCAAACTATTTGATATGGTGCAATACTGGTTGGGCACCAATAATGTCAGGCATGAATACATTAAGGTTGACTTAGACGGCAAAATGTCTGGTTTGCCGTCTGACTTAGACGCCAATGCGTCTAGTTTACTGTCTGACTTAGACGGCAAGGTGTCTGGTTTACGGAATGTCTAATTTACTGTCTGCGACTTAAAGTGACAATAATGTCTTGTTATGTTATTGACTTAAACGGCAATAAAGTCTGCTTAATTGATAGTCTAAGATAGCTAAAATGTCTGGTATATTGATAGCTGTAAGATAGCAGTAATGTCTGGTAAACTGCGATTGAAAAATAGCAAGAATGTGTGATTAACTGATTGACTAATTTATTCATGCTTGAGAAATTATTATGCGCTTTATTTTATTAAAATAAATAGAGGATATTACATGGGTGTGCGGAGATACAGATTTTATCTTTGAGTGTTGATTGAGAGATTTTCAACACAAGAAGATAAAATTTGTATCATTACAACTTGACTTGCACAGGCAAAGGCAGCACTATGTAATTAGCAATAAATGGCAGTGAATCAAATTAATTTACTAGGAACTTTTTGGTTGGATGATAGCACTCAAATAATTGTATGACAAATGGGATATAAAAGCAACAGATATCTTGGTAAAGAACATACTTTATACAAGAGATTGATTTTTTCTGCTTTATTCCTCTAATAGTCTTTAGAAAAAGCCATCAAGTCCAACATAGAACAAGAACTGGCACATCAGGCTGTTTCAAAAGGATCCAAACCTTTGTCCATGGTTAAAGTTGATGAAGAAGGCAAAGAAGAAAAAAAGAAAGTAAAGAACAAGAAGAAATAACTAYTTCAAACCTCCCTACACAGTATTCAGTTGTTTTTAAATTTTGATCAAATCAATCAAGCTCTAAGGGTAGGATATTTACAGTGTTCAAGCCATGAATCTCATTGAGAGGAAAAGCCTATAAGCTTCAAAATCCATACTATCTGGGCACGAAATGATAATAATTTGTAAGAAAAGCACACATAATGTTCCATAGATGAAAAAACGCATACATAAATATAAGAGCTTGTTTTCCTGGGTGCAKCAAGCATGAGAGTTTGTCATACTGAACAAAGAATGAAAAAAATAGATATTTGTTTTGCTACTGTACCTTCATTTTTAAAGGAGAAAAAAAGGACAAAAAGTATTTGTARCTCAAAAACAAGTTCCTGAGTACAGAAAATTCACATTTACAGCTGATAGAAACTGTGTTTTTCCATTGCTGAGTGTATTAGAAGATCCCCGTCTTCCCAGGAGATACCATTAATTGAGCCCTTGTCTCTCTGCGGTATAATATGGCMTCAAATGCCTTTCATTTCCCAAACTAGTCCCTGCATTCTCCCAAAACAGAAAGAGACAAGTTACATTGTAGTCTCCTTTACAGACTAGCTTATGCTGGACTTCCTGTGGGGGAGGCTATCATGAAGACCTAAGTTGTCTGAARCAACTGTCAATTGAATCTCCGGACCCGAATCCCCGAGAGAGGACCGGGGAATTATACCCTGGGAACCAAGGGCTGGATTTACTCGTTCTTGTATAGATAAAGTACAAGAATGAGTAAATCCAGCCTGTGGATCCCAGGGTAGGGGAATTACCACATAGCCAGGAATTTAACATTGTTTTGACAGCACAATTAACGGGAAAGCGGGTAAATTAACGACCAAATAAAAGGAAATGAACTATTTAGCCACCTTTTTTGCCTGGGCTGGGAAATGACGGGAGTTAAACAATGTTGTTGAAATGCTAATTCCCCCGGCCGGGGATCGGGTCGGCGTGGCTTGAAGGATACATAAGGGCCTGCTCGCACWACGACAATACGACATGCAGGCATAACATAAGGACGAGGTTATGTAGTTAACTTTTGTCACTGATAATTTTTTTAATATAATAATAATTAATATAATCATAAGGAAAAGCATACCAGTAACAAAAAATGGAAAGTCTTCATATTTTGTTTCTTTTAATAAATCGGGGTTAAGTCTTTACCAGGACACGTGGAATTCGGAAGCCTTGCGCCAATGGAAACGGAATCTGGAAAGCAAATAAGTGACTTCAAATGTTTGATTAACGACTCGCTGGCGACAAAAAAGAAAGGATTCTTTGCATTCTGAACTCTTAGGGGTAAAAATTCGTGATTGGGAATCTTTAGCAGGCTTTAGGTGCCAATTTGGAGTTTATGGAAATTTGCATTTTCTGCAATCTCTTACGGTGTCGGAAAAGAAGAGAAAGGGCGCATCGATATTGACTTTCCTCTGCGTTTTTATATCATTGGAACTAATTTAATTCAACAATATTTGTTGTACAATCTCTTAGAGGTTACAAAATCAGATTCAGCCACGCCTTTTTTTCAAGACTTCCGGGATCTTTTCGGGGTCTTTTTGCCCCGGGTCTGAACCAGCATGGTGGCATGGAATCCAGGATCTTTGCGAACGTTTCCATGCAATCTGGAGTCCAGGAGAAGAGGAAGGCTCCGGAGGGAAATTTACTGATAGATGATATTACAAATGGGCGCGCGGAGGACACACGGATTTTATTTTTGAGTGTTGTTCAAAAAAAACTTCAGAGATTTTCAACACGGGCTATATCGGTCATATTTTAACAAGAACTCCTTATTAATGGCAGCACAACTCATTGGGAGCTCGACATACTCTGAAGTTCCGAATAATCGTATATATACGCTTATTTATTTTGGCAAAATATTCCACTCTATACGGCCTTATTTGGGACTGTACGATTATTAATTTTCACAATTTTTTTCTCTGTGCCTACCTTAATTAGTTATTAACAATATCGTGAGAAAAAAAAATGAAAAAAGTTGCCAAAAAGACAGACTTTTTGTCTCTAAAACGAAAACAAAACCGCGAACGAACAGCAAACTAAGAGCACAAATCATCTGGTCAGCGGATTTGATCACAGGGGAAACTGGGGAGAAGTCAGCGGTTTTGCCAAAAAAATGCGGGAAAACTGCCAGTACTGCCGTTTTTTCCACCCTATACTATTATTCCGATCTATACTATTATTGGTAAATTTGTATTTTTCCACTCTATACTATTATTATGCTCTATATGATTATTCGGAACTTCAGAGTAAGTTACAGAACGTACCCGTATAAAAAAAAACGAATCAAAACAAAACGATCTACAGAGGTTTATTGGAAAACATTTGTTAAGTGTGTTAGTGGTTAAGTTATTTTTCATTAATAGTGTAAAGGGGCATGRCTTATTTTGCGAAATTGTCATCGCAAATATTTATCTAGTTAGGGGCGATCTATTACAATTTTGAGGGGGGGGAGGGGGGAGGTTGGAAGATTTTGAAAAAAAAAACATCCCTGCAAGGCAAAATGTTGAAACAATCTGCACTAACTTTTGTAAGTATACCAAAAAAAATTACAAGCGCGCGCCTGAAGTCCTACCTCCCTCAAAATACTAATGGATCGCCCCTTCACGTCGGGAGTCAATTTCAAGTTTGAGCCTAGCTGGTAGCAATTTACGAATTTGTAAAATGAAGAAAGTTTTGGAGACGTTGCTCTACTAGTGCTCAATACATTCTTCGTTAATTTATCGAGTTTTAAGTGCTTGCCGCTTTGTAATTATTCCTTGGCGGATCCAAAACATCGCAAAGGTGTTGACTCAAGAAATAATATTAAATGAATAGATCCCAGTTTTGCGGAAACCATATGAATGCTGCTTTAGTGGTATTTCAATTTCAGAATGAGTACCATTCTTTTTTTTTTTTATTAACTCAAACATAATTTCTGTACCCTGAAATGGGGAGTGACTAGCCATCCTAATGACCCATTTAAGCACCCCATCCCCTAGGTCCGCCCTTGMTTCACTTTGGTCCCTAGTAGTGCTCATTTGAATCAATAAAACTAAGCAGTTATGATAATTTTAGTATGCTCTTTCTTCTACTGGGATATGTTCACATGTTTGTGACTATATAGGCACCATTCCCTTCTGGAATTTCGGAATTAATCATTCACACAACTTCTTTGAAGTTTCGAGGTTGAACCGCTTAATAAAGGGAAAGGTATACCGCTGTACTAAATGCGCAGGTTATCTAAGACAGCCAAAATAAGTTATTAAGTAATTCAGAGGTGRTTCATAAACAATACATTCCTTGAATAGTTTGAAACATTAAAAGACCGAACCCAATTGCTAAATATCTTGTAAAGTCATATTATTGTTAAAAATAAATCCTGATATCTATGGTCAGAATGCCTCGATTTAAAGTTAGGCATATTACACTGACTGTATCTTGTATGATGTACTTGTACATGAATTTGTACATTTGAAGAAGGTGTGTACATATATGGTAGTGAAAGCGGATCARTGACACGTCGGGTCTTCATGAATTTTCAGTCACGCAATGGTCTTGCAGTCACGCTTTGCTTGGGTTCGGTATTTTTAAAGAAAAAGTAGACTTACGACATTTGCAATTAATTTTTGTTCGTTCAGATCCGCCAGGATTAAAAGTATTGTTGCTTACATGGAGTAATCATAGACAGAATGGAATTGTAAAAACTCGTGCTTGAATGGCAGGTTCAAGTTGCAAACGGTGTTATTGATTTTCTGAATAATGAGCTTATCAAAATCGATTTGATCTATAGGCCAACCGCATTCTATCGTATCCAGCCGTGCTTTAACAATCACTTATTTCCAAATTTACTATTCTTCATATCTGAAACAAAACAGTAACATCAATTGTATATCTAAACATCCCTAGGTTATATGCATTCATTTCCAGTTCTTTGTGCTTTAAAAATTTCACAACGAAAATAATATTCCGTCACAACTGTATTGTGTTACACAAGARCCAAGGCTTATTGTAATYGACGTGATCTGATTGGCTRAAAAGAAACGAAAGAATGTAAATCACGTGGATTAGGTCAAACACATTCATTCAATGTATTGACAGTTGTTCAGCACTGTAGACAGACAACTCTTCATGTACTACGGGAATTGGTCTTGAAATCCAAGGGTTTAAGACATGGATGAAGAGGCTACATTGAAGAAAAAGGTTTGATTACTCCATAGAACACTTCATAGTACTTTGATTTTCTCTTCCAGTCGTAGATTTAATGGTAATCCCAGCATATGTTCATTGTTTTGATAGAGTTTCTGCCACAGTCGAGTCCTACAAATCAATCAAAGTTGTAGTGCAAACATTGTCATTTATTGTGTCGCTTTTGTTTAGTTTCGAGATTGAGTAGCAAACAGAAATTTTGTGCATCTTTGCTCTTGCGCTTGTCTATTGGATTACTTACGCGTACCTACAGTATCATTATTCTCCGTCAATCCGGACTACTTGAAACAATCAACCGATATATTTACAAACTTCAAAGAATTTCAGTTTGGGACACGCGAGGTAAATATAATCGATAATCCATTCCACACTTGGAAGTCATTATATTTTAATGCTTTTATTCCCAGGCTAATGATCAAACATTCGCCATAAACACTACTATATATAGGTCTGTTTAGAGGCTTTCTATTTGTTCGCTATTGAATTCGCACGCGCAGCCCCACTGTGTTCAAAATTCATCGCCGTCGCCTTAGYTAAAGTACTTTGCTTGCGTTTAAAATGATGTACTCATTAGCATTTTATCCAGAATTCATATTTAGTGTTTAGATAACTAGCACCCCGAGATATGCTGCAAATTCGAAGACAGACCCACATCCGATGTGAATTCTTTGCGTATCTTGCATCGTATGTTACCCTAGTGATGTAAAGGCCGAATAACTCCGTCAATAATTGTTTTGATTCGGCATTAATATTTTACGTTATTCAGGAGAGGATTTTTAGAGTGTAGTGGTCACATCTGCCCTTATCTTACGGTAGGGGTGTTAATTTCACGTGTTACAATAGAAACAGCAGTTTAATAGGCTTTATTTTAATCAATGTTACGAATTAAATCAAAACGTGAAGTCCCCAAAACAATGCGCCGACCAACCTCCCCGGGAGACGGCCTTTTGTTCGTATCGAAGTTCCATTCTGCTAATTAGAACTTGAAATCTACGTAAAAATATGGGGCGGCAAATTAAAATGTAAATATTTATTGCGATTAAAGATTTTTTCTTATTTGTTACAATTTTGTTATTTTAAAGATAACCAAGTGTTATTTTCCTATATTCCTTGAAATGGCTTTAGCTAGATTCCCTCCTGAGACAAAATGTAATATGTAGGAAGAGACAGATTCATGGTACAATTGCTTTATTGACACATAATCTAAACAGCTGCTAATAAGTAATCAGTCTCCACTCTGTTATACAAACACTATATTACGATATAAATATGCAAAAACAAAAAAAATGATAACAAGGCTTTTTCGGTCATAAAGAAATTCGGACGAGTGTTATATTTTGAAGTAATCTTTGATCAATTGATTGTCGAGTAGTTGTTGATTTCTTTTTGTCACAGACAGCAAGACTATTACARATAGACAGTGAAATAGGGTTTGTTTGCATTCAACCACAGCACAATGACTCAACTGATTGTAAAAGACAAAAGAAAAAGACGTCAATCGATTGTAATTTCCGCGATAAAATAAGCCTCGCTTTGTTATACAAATAAGTACGTCTTTTAATGCAGACACCATTCAATTAATTGTGGTTATAGTACGTACTCAGATACCCGTATATGTACAGATAACAAATGCAATGATCATAAAAKCCGTCTATTTAAATCCTATTGGCAAAGATAACATCAGCCAAATACAGCAATATTTTACAAATGTGTTCCAGAATTTGATTTTGTAATAATTTCCAATGCAGRCAGACTATCAATATTAATTATATAAATAATTCGAAAACTGGTGATCTTTGTGGCCTATTTGTCTCTACTTTAATTTCATAAAAAGATTTCAATCCTATTTGTTGCAAAAATACTGAAGATTCAGTTTGTTTATATGGACTTGCTTGTGTTTAACCAATATGGAGCTTGTATTTTCACTCTTTGTAAACATGTGGGCATTAATGGGTCGGTACCTAAAAATGCAACATGCTGTTTACAAATTTGAATATGGCTAGTAAAAAGATGCGACAAGGTAGATTGGTTTTAAGGTACAAATCTTACTCAAGCACATAAACCAAAGGCAGATCCATGGCCAGAGATCAGAGATATAGGTTACCTTAATGACAACACCATTTATATTAACATAATGCTAAAATTATGTTGGCCACTCCACTTTATTAAACAGAACAGGACATGTTAAGATTTAATTAACAAAACTGTGATGTCACCTGCAATTCTTGACTACACTATATAAGACAAAACTCTACTTAGACACTTTCTTCAGTGGTCTCATTAAGTCTATAGATCTTTTTGATGATTGATATGTTTGATATATTCTTGGTTTGCATACCACAAGATATCACTAGACAGTAATGTTTTTCCTGTTTGTATTGCTAACATGGCTGCCATTGCTTTATCTTCAACTGACCAAGCATGTTTATTTTATTATTTGTGAACAGCTCTAATTGTGAAATTGCCTTCTTTCAGCTGGAAACATGTGAGGATTTTGTGGAGAGAAGAGAAATCCGTAAAAGGCTCAGAGAACTCAGACAGAAGAAAATGGAAGCACCCGACCCAGAGCCTGCCAGCCAAAGTGGAAGTCGTAGACATCGCAAAGAAGAACACACTGAGGAAATCACCACCACATCAACTGATGGTGTAACAGTTACAGAAACACATACTACTAAAACTGAAATAGTGGAAAATGGAGATGTGGTTAAAAGTGAAGAAAACGTCGAGGTATCCAGTAGGGTTGAATCAGTTCCAGATGTGGAGGCTGAACCAGAAGCTGAAGAAGAACCAGAACCTGAGGCTGAACCTGAGGCTGAAGCAGAAAATGCTGAGGCTACCCCGGAAGAAGAAGAACCCCCACCCCAAGAGGAAGAATCAGAAAATGTACCACCTTATATGCAGAAAAATCCAGAAGATCTAACAGAAAAAGATATTGAAGAGATTGATGATTTAGATTTCTTAGAGACAACAGTAAGTAACAAAATAGGGGGTCAACAGGCTACAGAGGATGATGCAGCTATTCAATGCAGGAGAGTGCCTTTCCTTACAAAGTAGCTGGTGGCTGCAGGGGAAGTGCATCCCATCCTGAGAACATGCAGTTTTGAACACCTTCCTCAATTTTGAGTTTACATGCCTTGGTGACTAGTTTTTTTTTCTTCCTCCCTCCCCCCTTTTTTTTGTTTTTGACTTCAAAAGTAATCCTTGTTCACCTGTCTACCAAAGCCAAAGTTTTTTAGTAAAATGTTCATTCCCCCTCTACACAATTTAACAAAAATTGAGAATTATTATTTTTTTGATTAATTAATTAATTTCATCTTTTGAGAAATACCTTTTATACATTAAAAAGTTTTAATTTGACAATACAWGGTGTATTTTTTTTCTTTTCCTTCAGCTTAATCAGTTGCCAATAAAGTTCTTTGACGTTCGCAAACATCTGCGAACAAGAATTAGAGTTGTGAAAGTCAATCAAGGTAWAAAGTKAATTTATTCTTTCAATCAATATGTTGTGGTTGCATTTAGTCATTGGGAAACATAATGTGTTGTTAGATTGSGCACGTTTCATTTTTAGTGATGCGTTTCTATGCCATGAAAGTGCAAAAAAACATCAAAACATAACCAAAACACATTGCTATAGACAAAGATCACGCCCTAGTACGAATTTTAGAAAACTAGATTTAATGAAAAATAAAACAATTTAGTATCGGGTTTGTCACATCAATGATGATGAATATGCCAAGTTTTAAAGAAATGCAACTTAAATTGGCGAAGATATGAATTTTCATAACTATGTATTTTGCAAAGAAATGTATTAAACCGGCAAACCCTGCCCGGTGAGCCTCGTTTTCATGAAAATATGAAATTAATTGTTTTCACATTTATAAAATATTTCAAAATTGCATTTTAGCGTTATTGGTGCAATACACGCCTCTCGTCAACTWTAACAAAGATGTGTAGCTTAGTTAACCTTAATTGAAGTGCATCGTCCATACATGGGATACCTAGTAGACTTTCTCTCTTTTCTCTCTCGCTGTTTGCTTCCAAGAGACAGACGAAATTTTACAAAACGAACATTATTCTGAAAGAGTTTCTGAAGCCGTCGGTAARAGAGGCGAGAGGGTTGAAAGTCTTGTAAAACTGTTCACCCCGAAAATATTTATTGATCTGGTCTTCGTGAAAGCCGACTCAAGTTTCTATATTTTTATTATAAAGTGATTAAAAAACGCTTGCCTTGTGTTTCGGGAGAATTCAAACGTTCTTTGACGTCAGCGTTCCAGATCTGGTCCGCCTGAGCTTGAAGAGTTTTACAAGTGTCTCTCGCCTTCCTCCAATGTTCGTTCGGTAAATTCTGTCATAAGCGAGATACTTTGGGCAAGTCTATCCTAACAATTGATAAATATTTATTAGGGCGCTATTCACCCCTGGTACAAAATTGATAATTCCCAGTTTCCATTCAGATTTTTACATCATGTTTAACATTTTTGTTTTAGTCTGAAAGAGCTCATAGCTGATGTCAAATATATATTATCTTAATTAATTCTATTAACTGTGTTCGAAASAAAACAAATCTTCTTGGCAATATGACAGAATAACTTCCGCAATTCTTCAAATAGTAGTTAGCAAGCAATTATTTCCTGAAACGATTATGTTTACCAGTGATGACTGACACCATATATAAACWTTAGACAAGACTAGGATGACATGCTTATATTTCCTTATTTTGACTGAGTTCAAKCCAAAATAAGGCAAATCAAGAACTTTTAGATCTAAGGACCAACATATCTTCAGTGTTTAAAACAGATTTCTATACATACATCTTATACATATTGGGCGGGATCGATATCGTAGGATGAACATACATAGATATACAATCGGAAGAAAGCACCGTGCACAAGACAAGTTAAAACATCTTACTGATATGTACTTCACGTCATAGCTAAGCAAAAGGCTGAATCAAAACACAAAGGAGCGGCTTCTAAAGCCAAAGCCCAACCCTCGAGGTTAGTATTGTATACCTGATAGGCCRTCTAACACCGTGAGAATTTTGTATCCTTTAGGAGCAAACTTTAGGCAAGGGCAAGTCGCGCGCTCCAAGGGGAAAATGTTTGAAAAGCAAAGTAAAGATGATACCGATTACAAAAGAGGGAATCCATCTCGAATAGCAAAGTATGGGAAAGAAAAYGCCTTCTTGAAAAGAGACGAAACAGATGGCTCACGGAGTAAAATGGAAACTGATACTCGCCTAACCGGACATTTTCTTGATGAAAAGAACAACGCGGAAATTGGTGTTTGTGATTTTGATAATTCGGAGGAAAGTTGCCCAGTAAGCCAGGAATCATTTTCAATCGAACAGATTGCTAGTGACACATTGTTACACAGACTAGATGAGCCTGGTTTAGCAAATGAACAAGAAAAAGAAMCCGAAGTTTACTCAGAAGACGAAGAAGCGTCGTCGTTGTCTTCTCCCAGTGTCGCATCAAGTTTATCAGACGTGGAAAACCCTTCCGCTATTGTGTCTGCTTCGGACCAAAGTGAAAATACTAAAAAGACAAGGGATGACACTATAACTGCTCATATACTCGAACCGTTAGAACCTGGAAARAAGAAAACAGATTTTCGATCACAACTTAAGAAAACAGGCTTGAGTCCYAGATTGAACCTTTCTTCCTCGGGTAAAATATCGTCCCTTACAAAAAAGGAACAATCCGAAAAAGTCGATCTTCGAAAGAATCTTAAAAGTGTTCCTGGTTCAGGATCATTCACGAGATGGGGATCTTGGTCAGAAAAATATGGTCCATCATTAAGGGAGAGACCCTCTAAACGAGTTGAAGAAGAACCTCCAAAGCGACGAATATCAAGCGCGGAGCTATTCGACCTTGTACGTAAACGCGATGAACCCAAGCCCGCAGAAGAGAAGCAACGAAAGACTAGCCTACCATATAAATATGAGCCTCCAAAAATAGTGGAACCAGAGGACCAAAGCTTTGACAGYCTCATGGCACAGCGCAAGAAGARTTCWTCACGACAATTCAGTCCTACTGATCTAAGAAAATCGCCTACAAAATACGCTCCTGCCTGGTCACCTAAACAACTACGAAAACCCACGTACGTTCCTCCATTGCCTGGAGCTGCTAGGAAATTATCCGCGGGAAGCATTGGAAACATTGGTAGCGAAGGTAGTGATAAGAAAGATGGTGTTCCAGATGAAGACATCGATAAAATTTTGAAGGAAATTAATGTGGAGAATCTTGAGGTTGAGGAAACCAAACCCGTCTCTMGACCAAAGAGAAAAACCTCCTCAGGAAATATCAAATGGTGAGTAGTTTTCCAAAGATTCATTCAAAATGAGCTCAAAGGGTTGTTGTATCTAGATGTAACGAATGGATTACAGTATTTCAGTTTATGTCAATTTAGTATGATCCTCGGTGAGGCATTGTTCTCAGTCTGATAAGAATTATGGAAGAAGAAAATACTGTACTTGATCTTGAATACACTGAATATACAGCGTTTTGCAAAAAAATCTGTAGAACTATGAATTTAATATGCATATAAATTAATCAATACTGCTATTTTGCCGATTGTAACTATTTTGGTTATTATTCTATCTAATTGGTATCTGAACAATAGTAATTAAAAATATTTTTCCACTTTTTACTTCAAAGTCGAGTAGTTTTGACTACTTTTTGGTGGAAATTACCCACAATGCACCTTATGTATTAGATCCTTGACCTTTTACAGAATTTCTGCAAAATGTTGTTACATAAGCCATTGAGACTCTGTGAATTTGCACCCACGCAGAGTTTGTTATTGATAATAATGCTTATAATAGCTCTTATATAATATCGGATCAGAATCAGTTCAGCTGTTTGTAATTATCAGTGTTTATYGAAATAGGATTATTATATAGTCACATAACAGATTATACGACATACAGATGATTAAGCACTACCTTATGTGTTGGGATATTATAACGTTATTGTTATTGTTCAGTTAYAAGTGATGTTTTGTCTCTGTTCGTTTATGTGGACAGACGATGAAAACTTGTGAAATAACCTTTTAAAACTGTAGTACATGTTCTAATRAGTTTAATTCTTACCTCTGTAGCTTTCTAGGAAATCCCTTGGTGCACTGCAATTCTTCTTGCACTTTCACTGCATTTGCTCTGTATCGTTCCTTGATGGTTGTTACCAGTGGACTTTGGATGTGAAGACATGAACTGTAAACAACATGTAAATTTTAAACCCAATTTTTAAACAAATTGTAAACAGACATTTTGAAGTTATGAGCCACAGCTGCATGAAAGTGTGTAAAATTTAAACCATCCTTAATGATATCCAATACGATATAAAAACTAAACATGAATTCATTCCAAAATCATTAAACATAAACATCAGTTCACCAATGATGCCATAACTAACCCATAAGATCTAAATCACTGATATCTTCACAAGGCCGCACACACTGAAACATTGAGTGCATTATCATCAKACTGATAGGATTGATGCAAGTGCCGTCGGCGAAATCAGATGACGGAATTMTATTGGTCGGGAGGGACCGGTACAATATACCCGAATATCWWGACTATTTTGGCGTGAACGCCYCTAAGGTTACTCTCCTTAGATTTKTTCATTGACATGTCTGAGTCTCTATGTAGCTTGTGCGATAACACCTTAAATGCGCATTGCCTTTGGGCAGCTACTACACAGCAATCTTTGGTGATTTTGAAACTAAAGAACCAACAAACACGGTTGAAATTCAGCAAGTGCGCTTCTGTCTTAGAATGATATTACGCTCATTGTTTTGTGAGTATTTTGTGGCCATAACCTTTCATTTCATAGTCTTTAATTACCTATATTACTAATTACTAACACTGAAGTCGCCATTATTTCATTCTAAGAAGACTCTTTTCTAACGTCGAATCATACATGTACGAATTCAATGCAAATGCCTATGATGATGAGCGCAAGATATTGAATTGAAAACGTGTGAGTTTCGTCGTTTGATGCGGTCCTAACCGTTTAAAACTAATCTCTATTTCTAATTGTAATTATAATGTACAGTCATAAAGTACTTTTTCACGTCATCTTAACAATAATTCATCGTCAATCGTCCACAATGTATCGTATCAATTGTCACTCATTCTTGCTTGCTTGTTTTTGCATGGCTTTTTGGCATGTTGTGGCTCTTGTCAGGCTATGTGSAAATTAAAGTTTTAACAAATTGCAAAGTGTTATGTAATGGAATTTTGAATTAAAGTGTACTTTTATGTGCAGTTTGGTCTTGTGTTGAAACGTTCAATCTGTAAGTAGCACTGTTGAGTAATCGTTGTTGCCCATTTTCACTGTTTACACTTTTGCACCGCTTGCACTGTACTCTTTATACATAGTAGCTTAAATATGTAAAATGTGATTGTAATGTTCCTTTATTCAAGGAAAATGTTGTAAATTATATTGTATTGCTGTTGAATATAGTCGCACGCAAAAAAATTGGGCCCTGTCTTGCCGACTAATATTTTCCCGCCAGTTGGAAAGCGCAAATTGAGTCGACGCGCTTGGCGCCACCGTGTTTTTTTTCCGCTATTGAAGCTCTTGAAAATACGAGAAAACTTGSCTGATATTTGTGTTTTGCAGAGCTTCAATTATATTGTTTTGACTATATCTTTTGACGGATTTTATCAGGGTTCAAGGACCACAGATTAACATCCAAGATAAAAGTCAACTAAGCGCCTTACGCCAACAAATTGAACACGAAAAGAAAGAAAAAGAGGGAGGTAGGTTCACACAGTAGAAAGTAACAACCGCTACAAGCTMATAGAACCCTAACTCAATGTTTCTGTTATCACACAACAATTTTACGATCCACCTTCTCCTCAGACCGTACGATTCACTTTCCCATTCGTTTCTCATTGTCATCATCTTTCTCGTCCACTATTTTCACAAACAGGAGTCTCGACCACCACCACAAAAACCACCGAAATACGCCGTGATGGTGGCGGCACAACATTCACAAAAACCACAAGCACCACTACTACACGAGGAGCGTCTGGAGGGATCAGTGGTAGAGGAGGTCTGTTCACATTGATCTGTTCTTATTAATCAGTACGCAGTGCACTAAATRATACACAGCTTCACTACCGGTGRCACAACGACTTACGTGAATTTTGCGAAAGCGGGAAGAGTCGTTTTTGAAAGTGCACGACTGCGGACATTCTTCTTACGGGTTATCCCATCTATTATAAGATGGAGTATTGACGCACGGAAAATGGAAATTTATTTGTAACTTCATAATAACAGAAATTTCAAAATTGCTCTAACGTTATGCACAAAATACCTAAACGCATCAACGTTTTCAACCACTACCGAAAACTATTCACTGTATCGACGTACGTTGTCACCAGCGCAGGGAACTAACGTAATGAGTTCTGTATTTTACTGCAATTTTTGTCATGTTTAGGCTTAAGAAACTTCGAAGCAGAAATGGCCAAAAAGAAAAAGGAAAGACAGGCCGCAAAGGCACAGCAATTCAAGAGTACAAAAGACAAAAGAAACGCATTCAAAGATCAATTAGAAGCCGCWAACCCCAAACCGTAAGTACTAAGATTTTTCACTTATACGAGCATAAAGTAAAACTCACAAAACCAAACTACGGTCCAAATATAAACGCCTGTTTACGTGGCTGATGGCCCTCAARGATCCTCTGAGCGGATCYTTTACATATGTAAAGATATGAATAYGAGGACCGCATGGCACTATGAWAGAASAGATATAGAAAYRAAAGAAAGTTATAGTGCTGATTGCTATATGTCAAGTATTAGAATATGCGTTTTKCATTTTTTTAACTGTATGTTGTTTGCTGACAATAGAATAATTTAGCACTATTTAGTGACGTTTTAGTGCTGTCACTCCAGTCAAATATTGATTTGTATGATTGATTGGTGAACAGAGCTGGAGGTGTTAAAAAGTCATTCAGTCAACCAAACACAGCAGTAAATGCATTGCTTGAATGGTGCAGAAGGAAAACACGTGGATATGAGGTACGTTTTTTGCATCATGAAGTTGTCATATTGTCATATTTATGCAAATCTAGTCCTTGAGGTTACACTTTTGGAAAGGCGTTTTTAAAGGGGAATTTGCWAAAAGCATATTACACTGAYAATACTTTTCCATTGAATCCTGTTTCCCACTCTTCCTTGCTTGCATCATCAGTCCAGTATCAGCCCTGGCTGGATTATTTCAATTATTTTGTACATTATCATTTTGTTGCATTTCAGAATGTTGAAATTCAAAACTACACGACAAGTTGGGCAGATGGACTAGCAATGTGTGCACTATTTCATAATTTCTCACCAGATCTTGTTCCTTGGGAATCTTTGGATCCTAAAGATAGAAAGAGAAACTGGACACTTGCTTTTGACGCAGCCTAGTAAGTATAATGTACAAATGAATGTATGTATTCCTCAGTCAACTGCAAGGGTAAAACGCAAATATTTTAAAATCAATATCAAATTGTATGGTCTTTCATGTTTTATTAAAGGCCCACACCCACATGCACACAAGAACCTTTGCGCCATTTGCTCACATACGAAAATTCACCCTCTTTGATTTTGGAAAGCTGAGGGAAAGCACCTTTCTAAAAGAGATCACTTGTAAGGAAAAAAAAACACACATGGACTATTCTCATACTCATTGCCATACTACTTTTGAACTTTGCCAAGGTCAATGCCTTAACACTAGACCATCATCTCTTACTCTATCTCTAAATCTGAACTCATATTGTCCCTTCTTTCTYTAAAGTGCTGAGGGCATGGACCCTCTCTTGGAATTAGAAGATGTGTTGTGTACCCCAGTACCTGAGCCTAGAAGTTTGATTACATATATACACAGCATCTACCAACATTTCCATGACAAGGCAGAAAAAGCCAAGGCAGAAAAACAACAAAGTGGATAAATCAAATATAGCAAGACRGAGGAGATATCACATGAATTAGCTCTGGACAGTATTACATTGTAGCTGAACTACCCCTCTGGAAAATGCCATGCAATGGCAAAAAATAGCTTTACGTAGAAAATCAGTGAAAAATAACATAAAAATAGTGCAGTGCAGTTAGTAATGGGTATTTGCATCCAACACTTTTCTAACTTCTTCAAGATGGCCTTGAATATTTTTCTTTAACTTAAAGAGTTTTTCTAAGTTTTCTTGAAAGAATTTTTTCTAGTGAAGAAATACAGAATTATGGAATTATTTTATAAGTGCACTTAGAGGCCTATTAGAAGTGCAATAATTAGAATTTGTTTTGTACAAAAGTACAGTGTTATACACAAAGTAACTAAGTATATGATTAAAATATTATTAGTGTTATTRTTAGGATTTAGATTTGACTCTCTATATATCTAGTCTAATATTTTGATGTGATTGCCAAGACTACTAATAATAATTGTAATTACATAATTTAGATATAAATATATCACAGACTGTTTTACAATATCAAAAGTCCACCATTGGATTGCTGTAATATTATCAGATGTTTTTGAGAGGTCCTGTCAATCATACTAAAATGGGGATTAAAAATAAGAATAAAAAGCATATATTACATAACTCTTTTTCTTTAAATTTTGTCATCCTAAAAGGCATAAAAAAGAATTTTTTTAAAGAAACACTTTCAATGTCGTTCCATAGGGAAAAATGACTTGAAAATAATAATTCAAATTAGTTTTTACGGATTCCAAACTGGTGATATTTAGCCTAACAGATAAATTCCCATGATAGAATTTGCATATATATTGAGAAAAAAATGTACAAAAAAATATCAATGACAGACTAGCTAACCACAGGGATGGTTATTAGAGTACACTTACAAAAAGAAATGGCCACCATGCAGTGGACTCTTCACAAAAACATTTTTCTAGCTCAGTTCACATGTAATAGTTGGCAATRATTGCAGTTTAGAATTTGTGAATGATATACCTTGTGGTGGGAAAATTTTATTCATTGAAGCTTTTGAGACAGCATTTATCCAATCTGAATTCAAAAGAGGTGTGCATGCTGTCTCAGAAAATTTCAATGTATGTAAAACTAATAAGTTTAATACATAGAAAGCCTAAATGGGAAATAATGTAACCATAGACAAAAAGTATTTGSCTAAGTGCCAATCACTGGAGTTTATATAATAAACAGAACATCACATGAGCGCTTAGATTCCTTTTTAATCTTCAATATTGTTTGATTGATATCTCAATGGTTTGATTTTAATTTGTGAGACGTCAATGAAACACTCCAAGATAAAATACAAATCTCCCAAGTGCCCAATGATGTAATATTATCCTATATATTACATATTAAGTGACATCCAATTGTGTTTTTATAGAACATAACATAAAAGAAATGTAGTTTATATCAATACCTGGTAAAAAAAATAAAACATAAAGAAATGACATGTTATTCTTTCTCTGCTCTTTATTGGCTTTCTTATTTCAAGTATAAATATGCTATTTTAACATTATCATTAAAAATATTATTTACAATTAATGTTTTGGTGAAAATTTAGTAATATATTATTCGTCTGTTAGTCTGATATGATTTTATCGTTTTCTTTGTTAATRTTGTCTGCTTCTTCCTTACTACATTTACCACAACAGGTGTTACCTGATCCACAGCCTTCCTCTATAGGTTGACTTTTAACATTACTTTTTGATACTTTATTTGTTACTGATGCCTTTGCCCTTCTTCTGGTGGCAGCAGCAGGTCTGTTTGCTTGATTATTTACTGTCCATGATCCCAAACTATTGTATGAGTAGAAATCCATTGGGTAATCTTTCTGCCATTGAATGGCTTGCAGTGCAACAGAGGCCTTTAAACAAATTGATTCAAAAATTATTCATTACATTCCCYCATAACACACTTCTAAGTTGTTAAAAGGTAAACAATAGTCACTTCTCCTGTTTCCTACAACTTTCTCCCTCTTCATGCTCCTGTACCACACAAATGTTTTCTCTCATAGTCAACTAATGTATATGTTGGACAGAAGCGAAATATGTGTATTTTCTAACCTCATAAGGTGAAAGGAGAGGTTTACAGAACGCTGTTCCCCAGTCAATGGATAAACGAGGACAAGCCACTTGGACCCATCTAAATATAATAATAAATAATCCAACAAGCTATGGACTATCATTCAGATTGGATACTGAAATATGATCATAATATTCATGAAATATCCATGATAGACAACAATATTGCAYCGAATGAAAAGAATTAGGCCACTAGGTCTTGTGGAATACAATTAGATAACACATTTGACCTAGTAAGAACAACTTTCATTTTTCAGGCTGAATGTGTTCCTAATATATAAATGGTACTTTATTTCCTTTTATCCACTTGTTCTTATTAACAAGGGTTTTTACTGTAGTGCAAGGCACCAAGGGGTACATGTTATCACTACATAGAGCTCACCCCTTCACCCCTTGTTGAATAATATAAACAAATCTCACACATTATGCTGTGATGGTTGCCCTTGGAAACGTCTGGACGTTCCTCAAAACTTCATAGTCACCATAGAACTGTTCTTGAGCAACTATTTGCTTTTCAGAACATCCAGCATACCGTAATGGCTTTCATACAACTACACTAACATCTTATTAATTGTCAATCATAGCATCACACTGTCTTACGCATCAATATCTTCAAAAAGCTTCAGTTTATCAGGAAAGATTTCAGATAGTAATACAGTCAGWATGTCTAAACCAGCAGATTTAATTTGTTTTTCAAGATTCTAAACAAAGAAGGAGAAAATTATTAATTGTGGTWTATACAGGTTATGTTCAATACATGCACAAATCAGAAGTTTACCTCTAAGACCTTAGGATTTCCTTGACGACCAAGAGTACCCAATATAAGACCATATTTTTTTGCTTTCATAGCAGTTTGTATGGCTTTTTGTCGTGATTCATGCATGGCCTTGATATCATAGTATTCTTTGCTTAACACCTTTTCATATGGATCATATCTATAAAAATTCAGTGAATTAAATATACTATTAGGAATGGTACTTAGATAAAGCTCATAACAAAAAGTGCTTAAATATATACAACAAGTGACTGTACCGATATGCTGATATTGTTGGGTTTGCTATCATTACAGCCTCTAAATGAAACCGGCCATCACCAAGATATCTGAAAATGACAGCAAAWCTAAAATATTATCATCATACACATGCGGATAAAAGCRCAGAAYGATCAAATACTTACATAAAAACATCCTTGTCAGCAAGTTTAGGTGCAGTACAACCAAGTATCTCTCCAGGAGATAATGGTTTACATTGAGGTATTTCTACTTTATAGTCCTTTGCCAGTTCTTGTGATGCAGCCTAAAACAATATAATTCAATTATCTCATTCAATAACTCATTGCTAAATGCTATAGTTAAGATTTTTTTAATATAATTTTTCATTTTATTTTTACTGATAACAACATAGATTGGATTTTATTAACTGGGTTCATTAGTGTTTCTATTAGTATGGGTGTGTGAAATGATAGAGATTTGTTAAGCTTTTGGGCAGTTAGAAGTGAATCCTTTGATTATCTCTAGGAGAAGAACAACTACTAG